ATGGAAAACACTAATTATAGAAGTTTTTATAGGAATTCGGGAAGAAGTTTACAGAAAATTAGGTAGCATTTCGCGAAATTTCCTCGAAATTTTTCGTTCATCATACGATGTGTAGATTTTTTCCGCACTGTTATGGTGGAGTTTCAGCCGAGGTGTGAAAAACATATTGTGACAAGGCGTATGTGAGCAGTGGGTAACGCGTTAAACAAGTGTAGTTTTTTTCACACGTGATATATAGAACGCGGAAGTATGTGTACTTCACTTCATATCGCGTTTTTTCGTGGGGTGTTACGTCACTTCGCGTAAAACGGGCGAAATTTCCATCGAATTTGTATATTTTCTTCAGAGAGTTTTTTGTACATTACGGTCCCGGCTGCGATGTGAAGTGATTGAATCTGAAGAAAACAACAAAGTGCTCGGCATACACAGAGTGTTGAACGAGTGTTTGATTGCAAGGTAGTGGGGGTAATTTTGTGGCGCGTGACGGAATTTTCCCTCTTCAGAACAGTGTAGGGGAAAATATGCACGACTACGTGTCGGTGACAAAAAAGGGAAATTTTGGGAAATCAAAGTTTGTTTTTGAACATTCCTGCCTTGTCTACAGACTTGTATAAATAATGAGGAAAATTCAGAACTCAAATGAGGAAAGCGATCATATATTCCTCCAACACTGGAGTTTCACAACCCGTTTTACGTGAAGTGGCGTAATACTCTGTGAAAAACCCGATATGCAGTAGTCGTAGAATATGTCTTTTCATATCACTAGGGTGGTGAAACTGCACTGTTTTAGAGGATGCCTGAGTGCTTTCCACAAGTTTGATTTCTACGTCGATGGGCAGCTGATGACGCAGTACCAAGCTGATGGCTTGATCATTGCCACTCCGAGTGGATCGAGCGCTTATAGTATGGCTGCAGGAGGAAGTTTGGTAATATCGGGAAAAAATAATATTTTTTTTGCGGAAAAAAGGGGGAAAATCGTAAAAATTGAGCGCGATCGACATTACGAAATTATGATGAATATTGTAGCCCAAATGAACAGTTCGTGTCAACTGTGTGATGGTGATGTGATGGGAGTATGTCGAGGAGTGGTAGGATGAGTAGTAGTGGGGTCATTGAGATGTTGATTATCATTAAGTTGATGCCATTCATCTCCGTGGAGTTGCTTTCGGTGTGAACGAAAGAGTATGTATGCATATGTAGATTTTCGAGATGGCTAAGTTCTTCAATTTGAGACTAGTACGACTATAGACTACGTAACGCTTCTAAAACGTTGGTGTCAATCGACTCATATTGTTATCATGTTGATATTACTCAAAGTTGACTTTCGAACTCCCAAAAAATTGACGGTTAAGTTGAAAACACTATTTTCCATAACGGTTAGTATTACTACCTTGAGAAAGAGTTCTAAAATTGCTGATTATTAAACCGTAGTCGAAGAGTAGATAACTAGAATGGTTTGGTTGATCACACTGTAGGTGGCTCCTAATGTACCTTGTATTCTGGTGACACCGATAGCGCCACATGGGCTGTCACAGCGTCCTCTGATTCTGCCAGCGGGGGCGACAATAGAAGTAATAAAGTCGCATGTGTGAATTGAACCGGGGACCTTTTGGTGTTGAGCAGGTTGGCATACCCACTGACTCACGAACGCTGCCTATAGCTAGTTTCGATGGTGCTACTAACATCGTACTTGATAGGGGCAGTAGAGTGAGAATTACCACAAGTAAGTGATGGGAGAATTTAGTGACAGTTCTGGGAGGGCTTCACACATGGAATAATCATTTTCTTCACAGTGATGTTTTTCCCAGAAAATTTAACGTCACTTCTAAGGAAGTGAACTGTGTCGGAAAGTGTAACTACTAATACAAAAATAATACTTATAAGAGTATTCAACTGGATCTGGCCATTGCCACTAGCATACATGAACAATAATATCGATCGGCCAGTATATAAAAAAACCTTGGTGAAAAACATCGAAACATTTCAAATTTCACTTGACAAAAAACGCATGTGAGCAGTGAATAACGCGGTGTAACGTGTAATTTGCCAAGTGTTTTCAATTCATTTTATTTCGCGTAAAACGGGTGAAATTTCAATATCATCGCTCGCCCGTGATATCACGACTATACAGCGAGAAATGCATTTATGTCAGGTATGTCACCCGTCCCGTTTGTTTCCACTACCCAGCATCTCGACGATTGGTTCCACAGTCTGAGAAGTAAATTACATTGGGCACGAGAGCTCCGATAGTGAGTACGTTAGACTGTCCGACGGGCTTCCGAAAGGTCCCGAGGTCTATTCCTGGTTGTGTCAATTTAGTGATGTAACAATTTACCATTCATCCAGATGGTCGCGTTGTTGGGTTAGTGTTGGTCAATGGAAAGGTCTGGGGTTCGATTCTACCCCTGGGTATTTTTAATATGAAGCTGCCTAATTCGACTGATAAAGCGAT